GTCTTTCCCATTGTGGCCCCTAAGGGGCCTTGCGGGGGGCATGGATGGTTCCATGGTAACATTCTTGCCTTCCCTACTGGAGGCCGTGTTTCAAAGCTATACACACGGTTTTCAGCAGCTACTTCCTCCCGAGTGGGGAGCCAATTCCTTCTTTGCAATCTGTTCTTTGTCTGGAAGCCCCGCTGAGCTGAAACTTGTTCACTTGGGGTGACCCTGCTGGCATTTGAAATACCACTGACATAGCTTCCGGCATCCCGGCATCGCACAAGCCACCACAGTATGACAAACTGGACAGGCAAGCGGCAGAGAAGGACATCATGCTTGGTAAAGTAGTTGGGCAGGATCGAAGGGGAAGGCCTTCAACCCAGTGGCTTCCACCATGGGCTCCAGTGTAGGCGCCGTTGTGAGATGGCACAGGAGCACGGGCAGCGTCTCCTTCTGTTGCTATGGGCCGAAACGGATTCAACGGCACCTAACCCACCACCACTGATGACAACGGCAATGACACCAGCAACAGCAGCTCTCCGACAGACTGGGCTTTGATTCCCAGCCTAGACACCTCAAGTGCCGCCGGCACCCATCCATCCGTGGAGTCTCGTGTGCTGCTATAGGCTGAACAGGCTGTAGCGGGCTTCCAGACTGAGCAGACTAGGAAGAAACACTTGGTGAGCTCTGGAAACCAGACGGTCACAGTACTCCAGGTCCTTCGCGGATCACAGGGAGCACACACCTGTCGTCCATGCCCATGAGCTGAGAGCTGACGTGACCCAGTGAATAACAACGCAAAGAAATGCATTAGACATTTCCCCCTACTCACCCCACTCCATGACATCCTAATAACCAGCTCTTCAACCCCCACCTCTGTCGGCACGTGGCTCTCTTCCCTCTGCATCTGCCTCTCTCAGTGCCTCTTCCCTTCTTTTTGTATACGAACTCCAGGCTATTGGATTAGGCCCCACTTACTCATAGTGTAACCTCATCTTAGCCGATACAATATCAACACCCTACTTCCAAACAAGATCACAGTCACACGGACCAGGCAGTAGGACTTCAGTATATCTTCTGTGCGCACATCTTCTGTTACATCTCAAGATGTAACACCCCTGCTTTATAGCAAGGCAAGTTTCTTCCTTCCTCGCAGAGAGGAGTTGGCACCCCCTGCCCCGACCCCCCAGTAGCTTAATGTACCTACTTGGCTGACTTTCCAGCTCTTGGCGGGCACTCATGCATAAAGAGGATGGTCAGTTTTTGGTATCGGAGGTGGTGATATTTGAACCGGGTCTTAATGGATGAACAGAAGTCTGAGGTGGGCAAAGGTGGGACAGGATGAAGCTCCATGCATTCCAGAAGTGCTGGGCAGATGGACCTTCATCTGACCTTGCAGGAAGGGGAGAGGGGGTGTTGAGGAAGGGATTGTGCAGCTTGCTATGGGAAAGGAGGTTGGCTGGGAATTAGGAGATATCTTTACCTTGCTGTGTGACCCTGTACAAGTTGCTGTGCCTCACTGGGCCCCACATGGCTCCTTGGTGTTTGGAGGAGACTGGGATGGATGAGATTAGGCTCCTTCCAGCTCTGACATTGGGGCAGGCCTGTCTGGGAGAGTTTGAAGCCTTACTGCTGGAAATGCCCTCCTCCCTCCCCTGATGGTTCCCAGGGGCCTGCTAGCATCAGGCAGGGCAGTGTAAGCTCAGTCCGAACAACCTCTCCCCTCTCCTTCCACCCTCCTGTGTGGACCGGGCTGGGGTGAGGAGACTTGTGGCATCTTACCTGGTGACTCAATCCTGTTTCCATCTGGGACCCACAGAAGTTGGGGAGACCCTCCTCCAACAATTCTATCTTGTTGTAGGGTTGCTTGTCCCTGGGAGAGAGGCTGGGGAGGGCTGTGTGCCCTGCTCCTAATTTGGGCCCAGAAGTGATGGCCTTTCCCTCCCCATGTTCTTGAGAGAGAGAGAGCAGGTGGTGTTGGTGGAGGGGCAGTGGGGAAGCGGTCAATTTTAGGACTGAGGATGCCAGAGTCCCTGCCCTGGATCACTTCCTCAGCTGAAGGAGGAGCCTCCCACATAGAAGTGGACAGATCACAGTCCTGCCAGGGGCAGCCGCAGCAGGACCAATTTATTTTGGTCAGGGCATCTAGGAAGGCCCCCTGGAGGAGGTGGCATGCTCAAGACGACTTAAACATCCTACACATGAAAGAGAAGCTCGGGGTCCCTGGCTAGCAAAGAGGATGGCTTACCCAGCCAGGCTTGAGGATGTTGGGGAGACCCTGGGGTGGGTCCTGAAGCGGGTATGGGAAGCAGGGTTCTGCTGAGAGGGATCTCCCTCCAGGATGAGGGCCTATGACCCCTGTAGGCTGGGATCTGCAGTGTCCTGGCCTGGCTGTCCCTGCCTGGCCGGCTCGGCACTGGGCTGCGCTGAGCTTCCACTCTGGCCTCCAGTGGCTCCTGTGAGTCAGGGCCCAGGCCAGGGAGCAGCCCCACGTGTCAGATTGGTCACCATCTGGTTCCGCTTTCCCCTCCACAGATCTCACATTTTAGATGAGTTACACTGAGTCGAGCCCTGGTGGACCTGGGGGGGTGGGATGGGGAGGGGGGCCGGTTCCCAGCCTGCCTCTTTCAGTGAGTCATAGATCGTGTGCTGAGGCCTCTAATCTCTAAAACAGATTACTCGAAGGGGCTGGGGTTGGGGGCTGATGGCTTAAAGTGACGGGTTTCTTTTGGGGGTGATAAAATGTTCTCAAATGGACTGGGATCATGGTTAACCCAAAACCTCGCTGTTATCAAGTCAATTCTGATTCTTAGCAACCTTGTACAGGCTGTCCGAGGCTGTGTGAATCTTCAGGGAGCAGACAGCCTCACCTTTCCCCCACAGAGTGGCTGTTGGGTTTGAACCACACACCTTCTGGTTAGCTGTTCATCACTTAGACAGCTACACCAAGGTTCTGTTTGTTGATGGTTACAAAAAAACCAAGCTCAGTGCCATTGATCAGGTTGATGCTGACTCATAGCGATCCTATTAGACAGGGAAGAATTACTCTCGTGGGCTTCCAAGACCGTAACTCTTTATGGGAGTAGAAAGCCTCATCTCTCTTCTGCAGGGTGGCTGGTGGTTTTGAACTGCTGACTCTGTGGCTAACAGCTGAATGTGTAACCACTACACCACCAGGGCACC